GCATTACTAAAAGGATGTAGACCCCAAGAAGTCATAATATACAAAACAAATCTATATAATGGGAAAAATGTTTTACAATTTTTAATCTATACATCATTTTCCATTCATGTCCATAATTGTGCTCACGTCTCACACTGCACCACCAGTCACAGATTTTTACATTTAATTTAATATGTTTGCTTGAGTATTTCTCACTGTGGTTCTGTTTCCTTACTTATAGTGCTACAAATATTCTACTGAAAGTCTTATTCAGCTTGAAGTACTACTACTGCAACATTACTGCGACTGGTCTGAGCAGCAGTACAATTGGTGGTACCATCCCCACTGTGCCATTACCTTTCTATATATTATACTTTTTACCTTTAGTCCACTTCAACACTATCTGGTCACAATGGGAGAACAAGAGTAAACTTGCAAACTATGCATCACTGTGTGTAAAACACTGGGAGCAAGTCTGGAGATAAGAAAACAATGTTTGTAAAACTTCAAGGACGGTTTTTCTTTCTGGGAATCGTGATGTTTGTTATCATTCTTTCTCCGTCTGATCGTCTCGGTCAGATGTTTTCTCACACAAGCAAAGGGAATAAGGAAAACACAAACAGCAGCGGGGAACAAGAAAATACACATTATGGCTTTAGATTTTGAAAATGAAATTGACTTGGGATGGTCAAAAGATAGACACTGGTAAAAGTAATAAATAAGTAAACAAGTGTTGAGGAGGAAAGAAACATTATAAACATGATGCTCAACCCGACAGCGCCACCCAGGGGTTTATTAGCAAAGAGAGGAGGCAGAAAAAAAGTCCAGAGTTTTTCATTTTTATTTATTTATTGTCAATAATGTTTTTTTTCTGTTGTCAGAAGAACAACAGCTGATTTACGTCCCTGAGAAGCAACATTTAAAACACCATCGAACCATTTCACACAGTCTCATCACAAACAGACACAAACACAACAAAAGCATCAAGTTCCAGAAGTGATTCTGTTTACAAACCCAACACGATGGGATTTTCTTACAGAAGTAGAGTTTTCAAGTTTTCACTGGATTTTAAAACTTTCCTTTGTCGTCAGTTACTTCAAGAAAGAAGCAACAACAAGTAGAAAATATCACATTATTAAGTTTTATAAGTGGAATATAAGAAAAAAGCAACAGTTTTCAACTTATAATGTAAAAAAATAATCATGTTTACTGTAAAATCCCTGACGTGACAAACAAAGACCCAAATAAAGAGACAGAATAAAATTCAGGAAACATTGAAGTGAAAACAACAATTACCACTTTTGTATTTTGTTCGTGGAAACTGAACGACAGCGTCCGGCGTCTTCTTACGGAGGAAAAATGAGCTGAGATAAAATAACACATTCATGACCAGAGGGAAGAGAGGAGTGATCCTGTCTGATGCCGGGCGGCTCCGTGTTTGACCCGCTGCACTTTGTTCATGCACGTGTTTAAGTGACACAACTCTCAGCTTCCCGAAAGACTGAGCAAATATAAGAAATAAGGCTTTTCACATGAAGTCATGACGTCAAATATCAAACTAGAAAGTCAGAGTTGAGCTCGAACCTCCGTCCAACAGTTCATTCAATTCAAACCGCATGAAATCACACACGCTCATGGATCAGTCCTCTAAATATGTGGGATTTCTCTTCATCGAGATCCACAAAATATTTCAAGAGTTCTTTAACTCGAGCTGTGGAAATCCATTCTGTGGTTTTTGACAAACAAACAATAAACAAACAAACAGAGGTAGAACATATGAGGTTGAGGAGGTAAAGATATTAGTACGTCCATCTCAGGGGAAAAGTGTGAAAAGTAGCTGGAATCCAACTACTACACAGAAAAAGAGAATTTCCATCTTCTTTACTTTAGATTATTTTAGAGTCAAAATAAATTTCTCTGTCAATTATTTTTCTCAAATGTAAAATTCTGATTTGGGGCCAAAATTCAACAAGACGAAGAATCAATGATCAGAAAAATGCGACAAACACCGACATCACTATTTTCTAATGATTCCGTCATCTCAGATTCTCGGACGCTTCAGGAAACGTGTCTCCTGCTACATGTTGCTCTCGATGGACACGTTTGTTTGAGCAGCGAGTGTCTCAGCCTCTTTATTCTCACTGGCAACCTTCTCACAAACGGCGTGGACGGACACCTGGACGTCCACGTCTCCATCGTCCCCTTGCCTCTCTGTTGACAGCAGACTCTCGCACACTCCCTCCTCTTCTCCGTTCTTCTCAGAGCATGGCGGGCCGATAGCTGGTCGGTTCCCAGGCATCGCTGCTCCTGGCTCTGCTCGGCCTGACGCTGGTTTTCCCGTCTCGGCGATATCCTCCTCGACCGTTCGGCAGTTCATGATGAACGGCGGCAGCGGGACGCTCCGTGCCAGCTCCTCCATGTGACGAGCGAACTCCATGGTCTTGTACTGCGTGACCTTGGCGAGCTCCAGCGTCTTGGCCGACGTGATGATGGGGATGCGCTTGGCGACCTCGAGGGCCTTCTGCAGCTTCTCTGCGCCCTCGGTGCGGAAGAACTCGTTGATGGCGTGCTCCGTCTTCTTGAGGTGGCTGCTGACCATGCAGAGCCGCGCCACGTTGAGGATCATGGTGATGGTGAAGGCGACGAGGCAGACGATGACGAAGTACAGGCCCAGGCCGCTGGAGGTGTAGGCGACACGCAGCGTCACCGTGTAGTTTGTGGTCGCGCCGCCATCAGTGGTATAGACACAGGTGTATCGGCCTCGGTCTTTAAAGGAGACCGCGCTGATGTTCAGGACGCCGTTCTCCTCAACCTGCCACTTCTCACCTGAGAACACACGACATGGTTTTAGTTTTACAGAAAACTTCCGAACAGTAAGTTGAGAAATAAAGAAAACAGCAAAACTTTACTGATGTTCTGTGTTTGATTTGATTCAACAAACAAAATCATTTCACTCACAAACAGAGTTTTAATGACACCATAGTGACACCATTAACATGGTGAGAATAAGAGTTTGATCGAGAATCGTGTTCTCTGGTTGTGATGTGTTGTTTTTTAAATTTAGAGAGTTGACCAAGAGAGTAAAAATAAGACGTAAAAGTTTATTTTAAATCCAGATTTGTTTTGTTATCAACTTGACGTAAAGAAACTTGATTTTTTAAAAGTGCATGTGTTGGTTTTTTGGCCTCTTGAAGTCACGTGACAGTGAATTACTGTCTTGTTCATCGTGATTATAATAAGATAATAAGTATTTGGCTACTTCACATGTTAAGGGCGTGAGTTTCCTCCTCTTACCTGCATCCTCACCCAGCACGGCTCCTTTAGGGTTGAACCACTTCACGGCAGCGTGGCCCTCGGTCACGTTGCACTCGATCAGTGTGTCGGACCCCTCCTTCACCACGACGACCCTGTCAGAGGGGTCAGCCACCAGCCGGGCAGGGGAGGACGCCTCTGAGCGGTTCTGAGCTGCGTGTGCCGCCCGGCCACAGAGCAGCAGCGGCAGGACGGAGAGAAGCAGGTGTGACAACATGTCGCAGGGAGAAGCTGCAGCTGCAGCACTTCACATTTAGAGAAGACTAACCTGCGAAACAGGAAATGTCAAGAGCTCACGTGGAAACACAGGAACACTGGTTCTGTCCTGGTTTTTCTTACTGCTCAGTTTAATTCTACTTTTCCTCATCACACATAAAGAAAACTTTAGATTTTAAAGAATCTTCAAACTGAGGTGAGGATGATGGTTATTAGACAGTTGTGATCGTGTGCAGAGAAGAAAGCAGATTCAACTTTTAATTAAAGAGAACTAAAGTCAAACTGTGTAATGTCTCAACTTGTATTAAATCACTGGTCAAATGAGTCTATTGAGTGTGTAGTGATCATTTACAACCATCATTGACTCACATCCAGTTCAGCCCTCATACGGTGATAAATGATTTCATAATTAGAAACGTTTATAAAACACTACGACAGAATCAAACCAGACTGAAGCAGCAGATCCTCACCTGTTCCTCGGACCCGGATCAGACTCAAACAGATGTTCTATCTTCAGCCACAGATGTTTGTTCAGGTTTTAAACTCAACTTCTCTCTAAAACAAACACGATGTGTCCGGTCACTTCCTGGTTCAGGACAGGTGCGTGAGGCAGTGGGCGGGGCTTTGCTGTCAGTTCTTCCAGGTGCTCCCAGGTAAGGTGACTTCCCCTAGTGGTGGGAAAGTGTAACACACGGTGTAATCAGTGAATGGTCATTTACAAGTTTGATCTTTTTTGATCCAGTGTTTTCAATCAGGAATTTATCAATAATTATTTTTTAGATAAACTTGACACACGGTGCAATAAGTGTTAAAATAAATGTAGCTTATCTAATACTTAGAAATTATAATAATGCTTTCTCTAGTGCTTTTATTCTAATTTAATTACTTTATTCATCTACTTATTTTTTATCTGTTGCAGTAGTAAACAAGTTGGCTTATTTTAAATCTTCTAAATTCTTTTTTCACAATGTGTTTCTTTCATTTTATAGTGATCTGTTTTAGCACGAATGCATTTTTATTTGTATTTGTTTCTCTCGTTGTGTGTCTGACTGTTTTGTGCTGTAAATTTTTTTTAATTGTTTTTAATATAATAGGTATTTTCTACAATTAATAATTTATTTTATTTTGACGGTGCCGGAAGTCTTGATTCAATCCTCTTTGTGGTTTATGACGTCATTTATAAATTCATCAAGTTACCTAACAAGCGTTAGAGATTACCCGGAAGTAGGAATGTTTTGCCGTCAAAATAAAGAAAATCTACCCTGTTACTCATTTGAAAGGTGCAATTGCATCTGTAAAAATATCCGTGTACGTTTTTTTTGTGTCTAATCATTGAAATTAAAATCCAAAAAAAACATGTCATTCTATTTATTGCTTTAAAACAATATTTATCTATATTTCATGTGGATATGATTTATTTTGAAATTGAGAGCCTGACGTGCTGCTTCCTGATGTGGCTAACTTCACTTCGTGGTGAGTGAAAACAAAATGTGACGTGGCTGAAGCTGCTGAACAGAAGGAGACATTATCATTATCATAATAATTATTATAATATTATAATTCTCTGAGCCGCTGAACAGCTTCACACTTTAAACCTTGAAGATTCGACCTTTAAACTGAAATAAGGAGGGAACACTTCCTGTCGCTTACTCTGTGAGGGTTAGCTGTTAGCTAGCTGTTAGCATCGAGTCCTGACAGCTGAGGGAGGAAAAGGTGAGTTTGTGGTAAAAGTATAAAAGTGTCGAGTTTGAACTGTTGTTGGTTTAGAATCAATGAAAACTGAAGAATCAGCCTCAAGTTCAACCACTGAAGCTTCTGTTCGACGAACGAGCCGTTAGCTAAACTGTTAGCATCCACAGCATCTGTCACTGTGTCTCAATGCTAAGTGTTTATCAAATACACACATCTAAAGGTTTTATGTACTCGAACTGTTTCTATGTTTCCCTCGTGTGTACATGTAAATATACTATGTGGAGATATTCATGTTATTTGATTTTGTGTTTGATTTTGTTGTTTTCACTAGTTAGACTCCTTTTGTTGCAGTTTTAGAAAATCATCCAGCTGCAGACCTCATAAACATCTGTGTAACTGGACACTGATCCCTGGGTGGGGTTGAACTACAGACTGAGGGAAATAATGATAATAATCATTTCACACGCTGTTAGAAATGAATTTGAATGAATCAAAAATCACTGGGTTTTGTTTCTCGTCTACAGAAAACTGGATCAACCTTTGCTCTGTTTACAGCTGTTAAATTACAATTCTCTGCAAGTAGTGATTTCCCTTGTTGACTGTTTTCTCTCTGAAGTTATGCACTAAGACATCAAGATGTCTGACAGCGAAGCTACAGCAGCTGAGGGTCCAGAGGCGGCAGCAGAGACCCAGGACGCCTCTCCCACCGAGACGCCCGACGGGTCCTCGCCGACCACACCTGACGTGTCCACTGACGTGGCTCCGACGAGGAGAGCCAGGAGGAGACCGGAGGCTAAACCTGCAGCTGAAGTTGAGGAGCCGCAGAAAGTAGAGGAGCAGCCACCGAAGGTAACGATATAAAAACAGTCTGTACTAAAGAAAACTACATTTAATGATACAACAAATACACAAACGTCTACACGTCCACAGTTGCCGACACACGTTCGAGAGGAGAATCTGTCTTTTATCAGATAAACAAGGTAGAAAACTTTCCCTGTTAACGATTAGCTCTGTTTCTTGCTCTCTCTCTCTCATCCCTCTCTCTCCCGCTCCCTCCCGCTCCCTCCTGCTCCCTCTTCCCTCTTCCCTTTTCCCTCTCTCCGTCAGACAACCAGTGAGTCGACTGTGTCCCAGGGTGGATGGGGATACTGGGGCAGCTGGGGAAAATCCATTTTATCCACAGCAACATCTACTGTGGCCACTGTGGGTGAGTATAAATACACTGAACTCAGTATTTCATATAATATTAATGTCGAGGACCCAGTTTTCATACAGTCACATGAATAGTGTTAAATTAAAGCTTTAATAGTTTAAAATAGTTACTGAGCTTTTTCAGTAAAATACATTTTGATGAAATCCCTGAAAAAACATTAAATTTATTATATAATATTAATGTAATTTAATGGTTTATGTTTTCAGATAAATAAATAATAAAATACCAAAATCACTGTGTTTTGTTTTAATGTTCCGTCTCACACGCTGCTCGTGTCTCTGCAGGTCAGGGCCTCACTCAGGTCATCGAGAAGGCCGAGACGTCGCTGGGAATCCCGAGTCCGACCGAAGTGTCAGCGCAGGTGGAGGAGGAAGAGAAACAGCAGGGTAAGATGATCGGTGTTCGCGGGTTCTGCTGTGAGATGATGAACAACGTCATATATTTTCTTTTGTGTTTTGTTCAGCTTCTTCTCCTGAAGGTGACGCCAGCAGTGAGACGGACAAAGCTGTGGGAGGGGCTATGGGAATGTTTTCATCGCTCACCAGCGTCGTGCAGAGCACAGTAAGCAGACGTTTAATAACGGACGGTACCTGTGTCGGTCGGGTTCTAGTGAAAAGACCTAAACTCCATCGTATAAACACAGAGAGATATCTGACTTAACCTTAATGTCAGTCACTAATTGTTGCTTTTCACACTGAAACTAAACCTCGTCGCAGGGGAAGACGGTGATTACAGGCGGTCTGGACGCTCTGGAGTTCATCGGGAAAAAAACGATGGACGTGATAGCAGAAGGCGACCCCGGCTTCAAGAAGACCAAAGGACTGATGATCCAGAACTCCACTCTGTCTCAGGTGTGAATGAAAGAGAGATGAATGTTAATGCATCTAACTCAGGTTGAGAGGACACGATATGGAAATAAAAACCATTTCATGGTTAGTTTGCTGGAGTTCTGTCTTCCTCACCTGTCCCTCTGTCTCGTGTCTCAGGTGTTGAGGGAGGCGAAGGAGCAAGAGGAGCTGCAGACGGCGGAGAGGGAGTCGTCTGATTGTGGGAAGAAGGTGGTCGCTCACTACGGGATGCTGTTTGATGAATTCCAGGGTCTGTCCCACCTCGAGGCTCTGGAGATTTTGTCGAGGGAGAGCGAGTCGAAGGTATTTTTAACTGGTCTGGTTCCGTAAACACCTGCTGAGGCTACACACACACTGAGATGTTGATTTTGTGATTTACATCGGAACGTCTTTTAAAAAAGCGCGATTGCGTTTCATGTTCCGTCTCAGGTGAAGTCGGTGCTGACCACCCTGTCAGGAGACAAGCTGCTGCAGCTCAGAGGAGAGCTAGAGAGCATCAAGGAGTCTTTCTCCCTCGTCGAGTTTGACGATGACGACGATGACGAGAGGACAGGTGACGTCTCCATGAAAACACCGGCGCTGCAGAAGGAACTCAGTGTCGTGTTAATAATTTAACATGACGATTGTTGGTTTCTGATTCCAGACGAGGACGGCTCAGAGTTCGAGGGGGAGTTAACAAAGGCGTTGGAGGGTCTCAGTGTCTCCGCCACAGCCGACAAACTCAGCAAAGTACGAGTGATGCATTTCTGTGACCCGCTCACAGATGTGTCATGTAAACGTTGTGTTGTTGTTGATCCAGTTGTGTCACTCGGTGTCTCCCACAGGTTGAGAATTCAGTTTGTGGGACAAGGTTATTTTCTGTAACTTCAGTTTACAGATGACCCCTAAACCCTAAATCCGTTCACCTCCAACAGGCCTGTAAGAGTGCGTCCAGCCAGATCTCCGACATGAGCCGACCTGAGGAGGAAGGAGAAGATGGCGAGGAGAAGAAAACTGCTTCTGTAGAGGTTTGTCAAAGTTCACTGCATCTCACTGAGGAGGAAATCATTAGAGGTCTCACTCTGATTTATTTTAAACTGTTCATACTTCAGACTCTGAGTCAGAAAGTGTAATTTATTCATTTCTAATCAAATACAGAGGAAACATGAAGCTGCTGTTGATTGTTGTGCAGATAACAAAGATTTATGGAGTTCGACTTTTCCATTAACAAGACTTTACAACAAGTAAATACAGAAACTGTAATGCAGATCGATGTTTCAATTACTTTCTTTAATGTATTATTTTTTAATTTGCTGTTTAATCTATTAAATATCAAGATGATGTGAGAATGTCTTCAGATTGTTATTATTGATTTTTAAAAGTTCTGCTGATCAATTTTCTTTTTCACCTATTGACAAGTGACTTTAGAGTTTTTTCATTTTTTCAATCCAATCTTGTCAGGAGGTGCACGCTGCGGCCATCAGGAGTCTGGCAGAGCTGACGGCTCGATCCATCGAGCTCTTCCACAAACTGGCTGAGATGATTCTCTTCTGCAGCGGCAGCGCTGAGGCCGGCGTCCTGTCACAGTGAGCAGAAACTTTACAGGCTGAAGATTCTCAACCTGTTTTTATCTGCTCGCTCACTGACTGCACGTGTTTTTTTATGTTGTGTGTTCTCAGGTTAACGGTTGTTCTGTGTAAAGAAATCTCGCTGCTCTCCAAGAAGTTCACCTCCTGTTTAACAAGCGCAGGGGTAAGTTTACTTTAACCACCGAATGTTCATAGAGAAAAATGTTGATTTAAAAAAAAAAAAAAAAGTTCAAATAAGTTTCCACACAGCTTTTTATTCTCAGTTTTGATGCATCGCTGTTGTAATTTGATCCAAACTTTCTGTTCCACAGTCTAAAGAGAGGGGAGACGTCCTCAACCCGCTGATAACAGGCGTCTTCTTAGAGGTTTGTGTCCTGTTACCATAGCAACAACGTCTTTCAGAGACATATCTGTGCTGATGTTCGCCGATATTAAAACTTTGATTTTACAGAGTAGACAATGACGAGAAGATCTATTTTATTATTTTATGTTTCTTCAGGTTCTTCTTTTTAATTAAAAAAAGGTAAAATATCAAGCCTCAGTTATATTTCGTTGTCGTAAGGGTTTGATAACAACATCTATTTTTGTCTATTTGAGTAAGTGGTCAAATCTAAATGTCCCAAATTTAACATTTTAAAAACCTCCAAAAGAGCTGAAATTATTTCTAACAATCTTTTGTCTTTGAAAACTACAGTAGAAATGTGTACATATTAAGTCAACACGTAAATAAAGGGTTAGGGATATTTCCCAGTTTGATTGACATCTGCTTGAGCGTTAAATAGATGCTTCATGTTGACATGGGTTCTTAATTTTCCTCGCAGGCGTCCAACAGTGCATCCTACATCCAGGATGCGTTCCAGCTTCTCATGCCCATCCTGGAGATTTCTCACATCCAGAGGACGGCTGATTCCACGGAGCAGTGACCAGATGATGTGACATCTGCCCCCCCCCCCCTGCTGCTGCCGCTGCTCCAGGACTCTGTCACAGCGTATAACTGACACGTCATTAAAACTTTTAAAAGTCAGGTTTCCAGCTCAGGATAAAATCCGTTTCACGCCTGAGAGGAAAAAGTGTTCTTGTCAAACAGTGTTGTACTTTTCATGAGCACAGCAGGTTTATTTGTGAAGCACATTACGAGGACTCGGTGCAGCACAGTGGAAGTGGAAGGGAAACAAAAATACATTTATGATAAACGAGGTTCAACTTATGGTTCTTTGATTCCAGTCTGCACTTTTTCTGCTGAATTCAGCCTCAAAGAACAATCAACTTATACAAGGACAACATGGAAACACCACAGGGAATTTGTTAAAAACAAACGCCGGTGTGTCTAAACAGAATAAATATTAAGAGATTTTTCTAAAGTCGTGTCATCCAACATGTTTCCTGGTCTTGAAGTTTATTTTCCTTTAAGGACACAGAAGAATTGAAACATGTTTGAAAGCTTTGTTTAAACATGTGTTAGTCAGGCCTCTGCACTGACTGGAAAAAACACTAGTGACAGCTTTTTGTGTTTGAATGACAAACAGGTTCCTTTTCAGACTTATTCTGTTTAAAAGATGAGAAACTTGAGCTGGAAATGTTCCTGATTTAATCTGAACATCCACTTAAACAACTTAAAGAGGCTCCATCTCTATAAAAATCAACAAAAAACAGATCTTTATTTACATAAAATAAATAATATAGAGATTCATTTCTTTTAGAATTGTGCAACACTTCATTCTGCCCTGAACTTTAATTTTCTCTATCCCCTCCGAGAGCCGGGACCTTGCACGTCAGTTTTTTTCTCGTAAATCAAACATTGTGATTGATGCAATTTCTAAGAAGAGGTGTCACTGAGAATCCTGTTTCTGATGTGACTAAAGTTCCAATGTCCGCCAGCAGAAATATGCAAAAGTACACCTAGTTTTAAATCTCTGTATTCTAATCTTATATTCAGAACTTCAGGTGTTTACGTATCCAACAGAGACGCTTCTGTCTGCAATGAAAATTATGATGATCGTCTCTTTTCTGGCAAGTTACCTTCAGGTGGACTCATTTGTTTTATATTAAACTGCCATCAGTCGTGTGATGAGCGATCGTCTCTCAGCATTGTACTGTGTACCAGGTGTTTGAGATGAGTTTCAAATAAATGCTCTTTCACTTGGACCAAATCTGTCATTTGTGTGTGTGGGAGAGTAAATCACAAGCGTAGTCGACGGCTTTTATCAGGATGATCTGTTTGTTTGATTTGACCTGATTCTAGTTTTTATGATTGTGACCGGAGGTCCTGCTTAAATGTTTGTGTTTTTATACCTTTAGTTATTATCTTTATGTCTGTTTATATATTTATAGATATTGTTGTTGTTATTATACAAACATACACAGACGTTTAGTATAAATAAATGATAAATAATCAGTAAATAAGTGACAAGGCAGTTTTATTCATTCACAGTGGAAGATTCAATTCAGACCCAATTAAAAGAGTTCAATTTAAAGTCAGACAGCAGAGTTTAAAAAAAGGGTCAAACAAAGTATAAAGTAAAAAGAGAATAAGATCAATAAAAAGGATTAATCTTAAGTTGAAGGATAAATAAAATACAAGTAAAACAAAGAGAAGTGTGTAAAATACTAGTCAAATGCACAAAGTACAAAGAACAAGTGGAAAATTAGAGGAATATAAAATCATAATTATTAAAACATGATAGAATTATTAAATCTAATAAACTAAAATTCACCCCTGTATAAATAAAGGCTGATTTCACGTCGCTACTCATCCACGACTGTAGGTGGAGCGGTGCGCGGTTTCCGTCCAATCGAGCGGCCGCCAATAGACACAAAGAAGAAGCGGGAGCACACGAAGAAGTAGTAGAAGAAGAAGACGGCGGCGGTTAGCGGTTAGCTGTTAGCTCTGCGAGTTGCGTCGAGGAGAGTCTCTGGTAAACTGATGTTTCTATTCTCTAATATTTCCCACAGTAAAACTCCGGAGCCTCTGCTGCTCAGCGAGGCTCAGAACCGGAGCTGGTTTATTTAATTCCCCTCCGGTGCTGTTAGCTTCCCGCTGAACGCGAGGATTAGCATGCACACGAACATGCTAAACCTTTAGCTTTAGCTGCTTCCGCGCTAGCTGCTGGAAACCACATGAAAAAAAACAACAACGACGTGTGTTTTTATCAAAACTGTCCGAGTTGTTGAACGTCTGCGGCTTTTCACGCAGATCGAAGGTTTGAAGAAACGCTCTTTAATGTGGCGTCACTGTGTGAACTGGGAACTGAGCTAGCTTGATGTCGAGAACAGCCGCCAGGAGGTGAATCCATCACGATGTCATGGTAACAACGTTAGTTCAGGTCAGAATGACGATGGGTCAGATGATGCTGACACGAAAACACCAGGAAGAGCCCCAGACTCCAAACATCCACAGATCCGGGGTCTGCTGCAGCTTCTGCTCGTGTGGGTGAAAGTCTGAAGATGGTGAACACCTCTGGTTACAGATCAGCTGTTGGTCGATCGAGTGTTGGAGACGTTTCGTTGTTTGGTCCTGAAGCAGAAGTTTATTCTTTTTAAAGACACAGAGAAGAAGTGGAAGATGTTTTCAACCCTTGGTCTTTGTTTAGTCACGTGGATTTGTCGGGGGGGGGGGCACTGTTGACAGCTTTAAGTTTTAAAGGTCCAGAGTGTAAGATTCAGGTGAAAGGAACTATTGTCAGACATTTAATGTAGAATAATCCTCATGATCACTAGTTCGTTTCATCTAAATTGTTTGAATTGTAGTTTTCTTTACCCCAGAGAAGAGCCTTTATATTCAAATACTTTATATTTACATGGAGGGGACTCTCTCTACGGAGGCCGCCATGTTTTTTACATTACGTCCAGACTGAACAGACTAAACCTTTTTGAGTTTTTATGACAATTAAAGTCTGCCACAGGTTATTTTTCATGTTTGGAAGGAGAGGGTGAGGTGAGGGGTGTTCAGCTTCAACACTAGATATCACTCAATTCTACACACGGAACCTTTAAATTACAAACAGGTTCCTTTTCAGACTTGTTCTGTTTAAAAGACGAGAAACTTGAGCTGGAAAAGTTCTTGATTTAATCTGAACAACCACACAAATAACTTAAAGAGCCTCCAGCTCTTTGGACCGAAGTGTCGATCGGCCTTTAAATTAATTTAAATTGTTGTATTTGTTTGTCTGCAAGATTTACGTTGAAAACTTTTAGACCTTCTCTGATAAATATGAATCTTCAATAATCCGGAGTCACTGAAAGTTTTAACCAACGACCACATTTGACTGTTTTACTTTTAGTTACTTGATTTAATCGATGTAAATATTTAGTTACTCATAGTTTTCAATTGAGATTTTCTGCAGCAGCTTTGTGTCTGACGCTGGCACAGCTCCTCGATCGTTCTGAAGTCAAAGTGAGATTTCACTGAAGGTGTCTTTCCTTCCTCTTTCAGAGTTGTCTCACTTCATCACACCATCCTCCACGTTGTCCCCCCGTCACGAGCGCTACAGGGTCGTTGGGGTCTCAGCTCTCTTCCTGACCTGCCAACATGCCGGCCGCACTTACAGATTCCAGTCAGATAATCTGTGAAGTCTGGGCAAGCAATGTGGAGGAGGAGATGAGGAAGATCCGGCAGATTATTCAAAGCTACAACTTCATCGCCATGGTAAGAATCATTCCCGGGTCAAAAGGAATAATCACATTTTAAACAGCAGGAACAAACATTAACTTGTAAAAGACAAAGAAGGTAAAGCTGCTAAGTTTTCTGCTTTTTACTTTTATTGACCGATGACTTGTCTTTATCTCCAGGACACAGAATTCCCCGGAGTAGTTGTCCGGCCGATCGGCGAGTTTCGCAGCACAGTGGATTACCAGTATCAGCTGCTGAGGTGTAACGTCGACCTCCTGAAGATCATACAGCTTGGGCTCACGTTCATGAACGAGGATGGAGACTACCCCTCCGGCACGACGACGTGGCAGTTCAACTTCAAGTTTAACCTCACGTAGGTGAACTTTTATCTCCCTTCATGTTGATGGTTGAAAAGTTTGAAGTGCTGACATCAAGTTCATTGATTAGATTAGCATCTGTACAGTAAAGCCAATAATTTAGGGATTATTTATTTTCTAACACTCAGACTTTGTTGGATAACGGTGTGATCTTTATTTAATGATGGTCGATGTATTTTCTCCTCCTCACAGAGAAGACATGTACTCACAGGACTCCATAGACCTGCTCCAGAACTCCGGCCTCCAGTTTAAAAAACACGAAGAAGAAGGAATCGACACGCTCTACTTCGCCGAGCTCCTCATGACGTCTGGTCTGGTGCTGTGTGAAAACGTCAAGTGGCTTTCCTTCCACAGGTCGGTTGTGTTCATTCATCCACAGTGACTCTGAATCCTGCAGTTCCTTAAATGTTTTGGCAAATTTAAAATTGTCTCTTTTTTCTCTTCTGAGCAAGAAATTGAAAAAGAAACAATACACCAGCTTTTTCTCTCTAAATACAAATCATAGTTGTTTTAGCATCTGTCTTCCACAGGTTTCTGTAGAGACACTTCAGTCTGAAGTCCAAATGAATGGAAGAGACGTTAAAACCTCTCAGTTCAGGATGTGATTATTTTGAGGAAGTAAAGAAAAAACCCTTTAAATTCAATTAAAAGAATGAACCAAATCTCTTCTCAGCAGCTTCATCATGTCAGTCATTAGTTTAAATCCAGTAACACCAGTGTTTAATCCAGCCGCTCTGACCTACATCCTCTGTTCTGTGTCTTCCAGCGGCTACGACTTCGGATACCTGGTGAAGCTCCTGACAGACGCACGGCTCCCGGAGGAGGAACACGACTTCTTCCAGATCCTCAACCTGTTCTTCCCGGCAATCTACGACGTCAAGTACCTGATGAAGAGCTGCAAGAACTTAAAGGTCCCAACACCTGGACACAAACTTTTGTTATGATTGTATCTCAATTCAAGATTCAAGGGTTTTTTTGTCATACACACAACATTTACATTTAGCAGTCACTGGCTACGAAATGCTTGAGTCGCAGGATCCCCTCTAACCATGCTCAGAATATTACACAAGGGAAAAATAGAATATATAAAATAACAATAACCTAAAATATTAAAAATAGAATAAATAAACGCCTTTAAAAGACGTAGTGCAAATATTACAAGGAGCTCAACTCCTCCACATGAAATCAAATCCGGTCTTGAAACATCCGTGTGTCTGTGCAGGGGGGGCTGCAGGAAGTGGCGGACCAGCTGGAGCTGAAGAGGATCGGGCGGCAGCATCAGGCTGGATCAGACTCTCTGCTCACTGGTATGGCGTTCTTCCGGATGAAAGAGGTAAGAGCAACACGCTTCACAGCACTTCCTGTTTATTCTTGTAGTTGCTACAATGAAATGCTGAAAGGTGTGTTCAGGACCTGAGTTAAACTCTTCTCTTCGCCCTCAGCTTTTCTTCGAAGACAACATCGACGACGCAAAGTATTGTGGGAGATTGTACGGCCTGGGCTCCGGCTCCACCCAACCTCAGAACGGCATCTCCAGCTCGGGCCAGGAGGAAACGAACAACAAGCACTGACCGAGCGCTCCGACTCCTCAAGTGGCTTCGCACTTGTTTTAAAACCCGACCAGCAGATTTGTCCCCGTGATCTCCCTCAGCACTCGACCCCTGAACAAGACAGATACTCCTCCACGTTTCCTCTGGAGCGCCCGGACGAAGGACTCAACAGCCACAGTGGATCCTTCACTGGCTCACCTGAGTATATGGCCATATATTCACTTTTTAAACATCTTTTTCATTTACAGCATTAGTGACGTCCTCCTTTACAGCATGGGACCATCTTTTATATCACACTGTGATTTCAGACTGTATAAAAACAGACCATTTAGACCAAGCCTCAGATTCCTCGGTTCGAACTTTCCTCTCGTCAGCGGGACTCGTCTCTTGTTGCAGGGATTTCTTTTTTCTTTTTTTAAAAAATAAAAAGCTGGAAGGGCCTGTAAATTAAAATGTATAATTTTGATGAGAATAAAAATGTTTTAGCTCTTTTCCACTTTCAGAAACTTTTAACAGTGTATAACTGAGCTTGGTTATGCATGTGTTTCAATGGGCAAACTACTGTTGTTCTGTAAATTCACCCACCGAACCCAGCTGTCCACCGTCAGGTTTACAGATGTTGTGGTTACTGTTGTTTTTACCTTCTACATTGTTTTAAACAGTTGTATATTAAATTGTTTTGTATTTTCAATGTACATTTTTAAGTATTTGTGTTTTTAACCACAAGACGAAACAACTCGATTTGTGTTAAAAGGTTTCGTTTCAGACGAGCGGAGCCTCAAGTTTCTTCTCACCTGGAACTTTTCCACAATCTCAGACCAGAAACTTCAAAACTATTACGAAAACATTAAATCATTATTTGACAGAAAATATTATTTAATATTTTTATATCAATTATTATTCTGGAGGCCAAATATTCTGAAAATAACTTCAATCTTGAGATCTTGTTTTAAAAATATAATTTTTAATATATCATGGAAAATGGACATTTTAACTAAAAGTTAAACTTTAGCTTCAACTAATTCTTTAGTTCTTATAACATTAATGTTCCAAAACACATAATTTGCAAAAAGCAGCAAAATCCCACATGAGCAGCAAAACTACAGTACAAATATTTGCAGTCCAAAATAAATACTTTAATGATTTGTTGGAATTTAAAGGTAAAGTTAAAAATAATTTTCTGAGCCTGTAATGAAACAAAAAACGTCAGTTTAGATGAGTTGAATTAATTTAAACATTTAACATTAATTTAAAGACAAACTACATATTTGTCCGATTAGAATAATATTAGAATAATAAATCTAACCTGACACCAAACATTTCAATTTTAAATAAGCCCCTTTGTCAGATCTTCTCTCGTAACCTTGGATTATAAACCGTCTGTTTCACTTGTTGAATATTTAATATAAATCTTCGTTTCATTGTTGGTCCAGAGAGCTGCTCCGAATATTCATATAACCTAAGAAATTCATTCACCAATAAAGTTGGGGCGTGCACGTACATTAAAGTGACGCATCACTTCAGTAACCTGCACCTGAAGTGTTCCAGCTCGAGGACAGAGCTCTGTGGTTCTCCGTCCTGCACAGCTGGATGTGGAATCAAACCGACACGAGGCTCCATCTTGTGATTAAAGATTTTTTTATTAAACAAACAGCTGTACAGTGGAAGTGCTCTCGTCAGTCTAAGACTCAGGTGAGGAAACGCTGTGACGCTCTCAGGACGGACGGACCTGAGCCGTGTTTTCGCAGCAGGTCTCTGGCGTCTCTTCTCAGGGACTCGGAGACGGGCGGTGAGGATTCGCTGAGGTGCAGCAGAACCAGGCAACATTCGAGAACATCTGGATGAGGAAACGCCTGAGAGAGAACACAGAGGTGACGGTGAGATGACGGCACACACATTTCACTGAATTCAGTGAAAACCTAGAAAAATAAAACTTAAGTGACATGAATCAGTTCCATGAATTCTTAGTTTTCTTTCTGCCCAAAATGAAAGGAAAAGACTTTATGTCCATTTCTTTTCATCTGTCTCCCTCTATGATCTCATCGGTGTCTGTGTTGTGTTTCGGAGCTGAACCTTGAGGGTGTCCGGCAGGTCGGCCAACTCTTTCTGAAGCTCGGACATCTTGAGAGACAGAGAGAGGAGAGTCTGGTGGTCGTCCGGCCTGAGGGAGACAATGATCAGACGTCAGGAAACTACGACTCTGTTAAAAAGCACCGAGCTGAACGATTCAGACGTCTCCACAAGAAATTAGTAAAACGGCTGAGTTCATTCACTGCAGAGGCCAAAGTACTGCATTCATGTGTGAGTAGCTTTTAACCAGGAGGCGGCAGGTGAACTACTCTATTGTCTTCTGTAGGTTTTAATGACAACACACAGTATTTCGTGTGTAAAATCTGAGTCTGCAAAGTAACTACAGCTGTCAGATAAAATGTAGTGGAGTAAAAACTGCAATATTTACAGCTGAAATGCAGTAGAGTATAATTTAAAGAGTGATTCAAAGTACTTGACTACAGTTCTCACTAAAGGTTCACCTCAGAAAACATCTTTATCTACTGGTCGTGTCCTCTGGATTTATAATCTTATATATATTTTCAGCAAACGACAAATGACTGTCATCAGTAACAGACCGTTTCTCAGCATCAGTGGATCCGTGTCCGTCTGACGACTCTGCGGCGGAGGACGTCTGTGTGTCGGCCTGCGTCTCCCCCGTCTCGAGCTGCCCCCCCTGGGCTCTGCTGTGCTGCTGCACCATGGCAGCCAGCTGCTCCTGGATCTCCCTCACCGACCTCTGAGTGGCCTGACAGGCAGCGTGAGACTCAGACAGAAGAAGCGAAGCATCAAATCCCAGGTCGTCCAAACTTCCGGTCGGCGAGTGGACGCTCTTCCCCGACTCCGATGATTCTCCGTTCACCACCTTGTCCTCCGGCTCATCTCCGGCGCGGAAGTCAGTGGCAGGGAGGGAATGTCCGTTGTGGACCTTCTGGTCGTGAGCAGAGTTGCTCCACCAGCGATCGTACAAACGGTGGTAATGGACGAAGGCCTGCAGACTGTCGGCAGCAGCTCGGCCTCCTTCTTCTGAGAGATGAAGAGTTTTAGGACGTTTCCTGGAATAAACGGTGACGTCGTCTGATGAAACAGAAAGAGGAGAAAAACATCATCAATAATCCTCTCCAGTTTACTTATTTATTACATGTCACTCTCTAAAAAAAAGGAGGATCTTGTTTTAAATTATCTTATTTAGTCTTAGAAATGACTATTATTTAAAAAAAACAGGAACTGGAACCTGTGTTTAAAGTTTAAAACGGAACACTTCCTGTGGCACTGATTCAGAAATGGCCGACAGACGCACCGTCGGGGAACAGGCGCCTGCAGAGCTCTGCGGAGACGCAGAAGTGTCCGGCGTCTCTCAGCCAGGCCACCGCCTGCCACAGTCCTTTTATCAGCTGCTCATCATCGTCCAATAACCAGCTCAGGACAGAGTGAGTCAGATGGAGAGATGAATACAGCAGAACCTGAGGATGAGGAGGAAACGTGAAGAGGACGGTTTATCTGACTTGTGTGTTTTTTTTTTATATCAAGAAAGACGTTTGAGGACTCTGTACCTGTCTCAGAGGGACGTTAGCGCCCAGCGTTGGACTCTCCACAGACTTCAGCTCCTGCAGAAGAGTTCCAGCGCCGTGACGTCCTGCTGACGTCTGCGAGACACCAAACTGCGTCTCCCACACGTCTCGTACTCGGTCCTGGATGCTGGTGTGACCTTCGTCTGGTGACGACCACGCGTGACCGGAGGTGCAGGGCTGAGGTATAACTCCGGCGTCCTCCAGCATCGCAGACAGAAGCTCAGTGACACTGAAATGCAGCTGGTGAACCTGCAGACGACGGGAATCAACATGAATTCAGGAAGCTGAAGAACCTGCCTACGACTTAATGGTTCAAATTATCAAACGCTAAGAAATAAACATCAGCATCTCTTTAAAATCACATTTTAAAGGGTTGAAATTCAGATGATTTGATTTTCAAAACAGTGAATCGAAACTAGTTTTCTTTCACTGACCAACAGAGTCTCGTGTGAGCTGAGGACGTCCTGAGCTCCGACCCAGTTCTGAGCAGCAGCCAGGTCTTTAGCGCACCTCAGTGCCAGCGACTGAGCCAGAGCGACCTCCCCGGAAATCTTCGCTAGACTGGCGGCCGTCTTCAGCGAGGAGACGTCGTTCTTCCTGGCGATGACTTTGGCCGCGTCGAAACTGGCTCCAGCAGCCAAGTAACTGAAAGGACAGAGAAGTTAACATTACGAGTTGAGACACGAGAAGATCTGAGAGACAAGATTCACTCAATCTTTCCAGTTCTCACCATTTAGCAGCGGAGGAGAAATGTCCGTCCTTCTCCAGCACAGCAGCCCAGCAGGTGTACAGCTCCTTCAGGGTGGGGTCGTCTGCCGGCAGCCTGGCCTTCACCAGAGCTATGGCCTCTCTGATCAAACACACACACACACAGTGAGAAACACCACAGAATGAAAACAGAAATATTAAAGTACTTTTATTTTAGCAGAAGAAAGACAAGAACAGTTCTGAGGAAAAGAAGCAAATGAATAATCTATCAAAGACAGAAGGATTAAAGAAGTGAACCTGTAGAGTTTGTTCGATCGCAGCAGGTCGACGGCCTCGTACACTTTGTTGATTGACAGCAGGTGAGACGCTGCCTTCAGGTACTGCTCCTGCAAACACAGCTGCTTGATGAAGGCCTCCACCGCCCGAGACCACGCCTCGAACCCGGCTGCAGGAGGAAACACAGCGCGGCTTAAATGATTAACATGTGCGAATCTCAGTCTGATTTTAAAGTTGAAAACATTTTAAAACTCTTTTTCAAATGTATCAGTA